CTACCAGGTGGAACTCCACCGATCTGTTGTTGAAGTCAGCATTATCAAATGAAAGAGTTTTTGAAGAATCTGAGGAGAATGAGAATTGTTATGGGTCTGATTTAGGTACAGAAGTGCCTGATATTGGTGATTGGGTGAATTGTGAATCCTTAGTATCAGTTCTTGAAAGTTTTTATGAAATGACCCTAAGGATTTCTGGATCTTTGTATGTTACTTCCAATACTTTCTTCTCTGAAATTTCTGATTTGTTTTTGGTGCTTCAAGACATGATGAAGTCTCCCAAGGCTTCCACAAGTAAAATGGGCTCTACAATGAAATCCAAACTGGATAAATATTGGGGAGACCCAGAGAAAATGAACTTTCTGATCTTTTTTGCAAATGTTCTTGACCCAAGGGACAAGTTTGAATACATGCCTTTTCAACTGAATGCCCTTTATACTGAAGCAAAGGGTGTGAAGTTCTTTGAAAGTATCAAGCTTGCTTTGCATGAGTTATTTAATGATTATGTGTCCAACTACTCTAATTCTGGTACTGGAAGTAATATTTCAAGCTCAACTCCCTCTCAAAAACAATTAGAGACTGTGTCTGCAAGACCTGTCTCCAAATTGAAAGCCCAGCTTAAAAAACAGAAGTTTGAGAATGGGCAGTTGGGTTTGAAACAAAGTGAGCTGGAACTGTACTTGAGTGAGGCCATAATTGAAGAGGATACAGATTTTGACATTTTAAGGTGGTGGAAGTTAAACAGTGAGAGGTTTCCCGTCCTCTCAAAAATGGCTAGAGATATTCTTGTTGTTCCAACCTCTACTGTTGCATCTGAGTCCACTTTCAGTACTAGTGGCAGAGTGTTAGACCTTTTCAGAAGTTCATTAATCCCAAAAATTGTGGAAGCTTTAATCTGTACTCAAGATTGGCTAAGAAATCATAACCACCCTATCTCAGTTGAAGAAAATATAGATGAAGTTCAAAGGCTAGAAACAGGTGCATTTAAAGTTTTTTTTCTTTTACATATAATATACTTCATATGTTTTATTGTACACTAAACAGGCTGAGTTTTTTTTTTTTGCAGAATTACTTGATGGTAATGTCACTGCTGATCCTGATGGCCATGTTGGTGGATCTTCTCCGGATCCTATTGCAGTAAAAACTGCTTTCATGCCTTTTATTACTTATTTATTGTTGACAGTGTGAATGACTAATTTGTTTAGCAATTTGATTAGATGATGGAAGCAATAAATCTAGTAATGAATCGTAACACAAGCTTATTGCCCATTTTCCCTTTGTGATTTCTGAACTTAGAATGAATGGTAACACGAGCTTATTCTCCTTTAATCATTTCAATCATCTATTGGGTAATAGGCTTATGGCTTTGGCTATGATGAAGCTTCCACAATCAACTGATTTTTACTTACTTCAGAGATACAGGCTGACCGTCTGGAAGGGAAGAGATCGCCTTGGAATATCGGCGTCTCGCTCCCTCAGCTCACACCACCTCTAACCCTAGATCTGGAAAACATTCCCTCTGTTTGGATTATTGAGCTTCAACGTCAGACATTCCCACTCCTTGGACGCACTCTAAACCACTTCATCATGGGCCAGGCTTTAGGCCCACTGCCGCCCGTTCAATCAGTTACTCCCTACAAATGTTCTAGTTTTCTTTTGCTTTCTTTATTTCTTTAATATTCTGTAACCGCCTTTATTTCATTAATAAAACATGGAAAAAAAAAGTGCTGGCTTGGTAACTTTAGATCTATAGTTGCCGCCAGTTACTTCAAATGTTTATGCCCCCATACAAAATTTGAATTGGAAAATAAGCTATCTGAGCCTATGTCACTTGTTAACCGTTTAATGGTAATACAAACTTGTTCTCCCTTTATCATTTGGGAAAATGGAAACTAATAATCCAACCTTTTAGCGGTCTTCTTTTAATAGTCCCACCTTTTCGTTATTCATGAATAATCCAACCTTTGCACCTCATCTTCATTCACTGGTCCCTGACCGGTTGATGACCTGCTATTCCAAGTTATTTTTTATCTTTGCAAAATATTATCTTTGTGAAAGGTGGAATTTATGGTATAATAGTTTGCAAAGATAAGAAAACAACTCGGAATAGCAGGTCATCAACCGGTCGAGGACCAATGAATGAAGATGAGGTGCAAAGGTTGGATTATTCATGAATAACGCAAAGATCGGATTATTAAAACAATACCGCTAAAAGGTTGGATTATTAGTTTCCATTTTCCTTTATCATTTCAAACATTTACTCAATTACTTGGCTATGATGAAGCTTCCACAACAAACTTATTTGTCATGGGTTGGTGTTTTGTTAAGTTATGGCTAGGTAATTATAATTATCGTCATTTACTTGATATAATATGTTAGTTTTTTTTTTCCTTAAAGTTACGGAAGTTTTAATTAATATTTAATATTAATTATTCAGAAAATAAAGTACATTTATTTAAAGGGAAAAACTAATCTGAAGTGGTCCATTTATTAGATAAAGATTACCCATTATTTCCCCAACTTATTAGAGCATCTTCATTCATGATTTCTAATAATCATTTTTTTCTATAATTCTTACCTTTTAAATATTGTTATATAATTAATTTTTAAATAATCTCAATATTCGTTTATGTCTTCCAACCATCATCTTCAAATAATCCGATTTTTTCGGTCCTGCATTAACTTCTATTACATATACTTTTTAAATAATCTTAAAATAATCCGGATTCATATTTTGATCCCAGATTATTGTAGAAAATAATCTCATTAAATAATTTAAGCCACTCAATGATGCTTCTATAAAAAATCTGCCATGTCATTTATTTAATCTCCTAATAATCCTACCAATGGGGATGCCCTTAGCGAGAGAAGGTCAGTAACTTCCCCACTTCTTTTGCCGCACGATTGGGAGTTTTTGATGGGAAGAACTCGATAAATAGCAGTGGTACCCATCGGCTCTTGTTTGCACCCTGAGTCTGCTCCTCACCATTAGTATACACATACCATCCAAGTGAAGGTGAAGAGAAGGGCTTGGAAGAGCAAAACATCTAGGGCAGTTCACTGTGCTATCCAAGGAGATGGCTGGAGGTATGTGATTCCATATTTTGCTTCCGCTAAACATTATCTTGATCTGAATGTGTTGTGTGAGTTTTTGACATGTTTAGATCAGCCTAATTTTTCATTTGGTATCAGAGCTACGGGAATTATCTCTGCCTTTCCTTCTGTAATTTATGTTTGAGCATGGGTGATTCGTATATAATTGATTAATTGGAGAATCATGAATTTACTTTCATTCATGCTTGATACTCTGTTTGCGTTTGGAGAGCACTGAGCATACATCTGTTTATATAATTCATTAATCATACGCACATCCGATTATGAGTATAAAGAATGTATGTTCAATACTCATTCCTAGATTTTAATACCCTGTTTAATCAATCAAATATTTATTCGTAGCATATATATATGAATTAATGTATCATGGAATGAGTGCTAATCATTGGGTTACCATCAGAATTTTGCATTGTGAGTCATCATTAATTTACAATCATATTCTTGTGTCCTGATATTTTGTTAAAGATAAATTTTAGACCTGCTCTTCTATGCCCATAAAGTATTTGTCATAATGCTTTAATTGACTTGAGTATGGTATAATCTGTAAAGTGCATTACCGCACTCAAACTTTATTCACTTGTGATGTGAATTGTAATTTGTATTCTTGTGTGGAAGTTAAGTTTTGATTCTGGGGAGATGTCCCAGATTATTCATGAGTATTTTAAGCTAGTTTCGAGACATGTGTTTCAGTTTATTACTTATGAATAGTGTACTGCTTTGTGTGAGTAAGCTGCATATATTCTGTTTAGAAATCATTCGAACCAGAATGTTGGTGCTAATTCACTTTAAGTTCAATAAAACTGGCTGAGTATACCTGTTTGTTCACTTTATTTATTACGTGTGTGGTATACTCCATTGCTTAATTAAATAGCTGCAGTTTTATTTTTTAATAACTATAAAACCAGAATGCTATATGTGATTTGTAATACTCCAGAATGTTGCCAATGTATTTTAGTTCAGTTAAACTTGGCTGGAAATCAGGAATTAAGATATAGTTTAATTGATTAAAGAATAGCCACAGCATCTTTGATTAATTAAATTGTATATTAAGTTTCTGAATCACATTAAGGCATCACTTGTGATTAATTATACGAATATATTGAAATCTGCCCACAGGAATTTCATTGTATTAGTATAATTAATTAGGATAAAATATTAGATTATTTTTCTCAAACTACCCACAGGAATTGAGAATGGAAATATAATCTGATAGTTTTATCAAATTATTTGCTTTATGTGTCTAATTGAGTAAAATTTTAGCCCACAGGTAAGTTTTATGTCACTAGACCTATAGCTAATCATGTTTTGCATTGGTAGAACATGAACTTCATTTTACCTCAAATATTAATAATGAGCATGTATATATTATATTTTACAGTTGTTCGACCTGCGAATGTTTCTGATATGAAATGTGACATTCCCGAATTAAGGGGCGATAACTATAAGGTTTGGAAGGAGCATGTTCTCCTTCATTTAGGCTGGATGGACATTGACTATGCTATAAGGAAAGACGAACCACCGGCTATAACGGCAACCAGCACTCTGGATGCAGTTCATCTTTATGAAAAGTGGGAGAGATCTAACCGTCTCTCCGTAATGTTCATAAAGACCAAAATAACTGCTGTTATCCGTGGTTCTGTCGATCAGCATACTAAAGTCAAGGACCTTTTGAAGGCTATTGATGAGCAATTTGGTACATCTGATAAGGCCCTTGCCAGCACCTTAATCATGCAGTTCGCAACCATGAAGCTCACTGGGGTAAGAGGCGTGCGTGAACACATCATGCGCATGAGGGACATAACGGCTCAGCTGAAAGCATTGGAGGTAACCATGTCGGATGCTTTTCTGGTTCACTACATCCTTTACACTCTTCCACACCAATATGTTCCTTTTAAGATCTCCTACAACACACATAAGGAAAAATGGTCAATTAATGAGCTACTGACCATGTGTGTTCAGGAGGAGGAGAGGTTGATGATGGAAGAGGGTGAACGGGTGAACTTGACTGTTCATGAAAAGAAAAGGAAGGATCATGCCAAAGGTAAAGGCAGCATCCCTCCACAGGCAGTCATTAAGAAAGAGTCAAAGTGTTTCTTTTGCAAGAAAAAGGGACACATGAAGAAAGAATGCTCTAAATTCAAGAGCTGGCTCGAAAAGAAAGGTACTCCATTAGCTTTTGTGTGTTATGAATCTAATATGGTTAATATTAATCACAACACATGGTGGATTGATTCGGGTTCTACAATCCATGTTTCTAATACCTTGCAGGGTATGGAAAACCTAAGGAAACCAGTGGCAAGTGAACAATGCATCTATTCAGGAGGAAGAATAAGTTCACATGTTGAAGCCATTGGGACATGCAATTTAGTTTTAAGCAGCGGTTTTATTTTACAATTGGAAAAGACCTTTTATGTTCCTAGTTTTTCGAAGAATTTAATTTCTGTTTCGAGACTAGCTCCTTTAGGATTTTGTTTCAATTTTTCAAGTACTGGTTTTACTTTAATAAATAAATCAAAAACCATTGGTTTTGGTTCTTTAGTTGATGGTCTTTATTCAATTGATGTGAAAATGATGTTGCTTATGATTCAATGCATGTAACAACGGGTTCCAAACGATGTGTTGTGAATGAGAAGTCCTTTATGTTGTGGCATCGGAGACTAGGGCATATCTCCATTAAGAGAATTAAGCGTTTGGTGGATGAAGGAGTACTTAGTACTCTAGACTTTGCTGATTTTGATACTTGTGTGGGTTATATTAAGGGTAAACAAACCAACAAGTACAAGAAAGATGCCAAGAGGAGTTCTAACCTTTTAGAAATCATACATACAAATATTTGTTGTCCAGATATGGATGCAAATAGTCCGAGATACTTTATCACCTTCATAGACGACTATTCACGATACATGTATCTCTACTTACTTCGTTCTAAAGATGAGGCATTAGATGCCTTTAAAGTTTTTAAGGCTGAAGTAGAGAAGCAATGTAATAAACAAATTAAGATCGTGAGGTCGGATAGGGGTGGAGAGTACTATGGTAGATATACAGAGAATGGACAAGCACCTGGTCCATTTGCGAAGTTTCTTCAAGAAAATGGGATTGTTGCCCAATACACTATGCCTGGTTCTCCGGACCAGAATGGTGTAGCTGAAAGAAGGAACCGAACTTTAATGGACATGGTGAGAAGCATGAGGAGTAGTATAAAACTTCCACAATTTTTTGGGGTTGAAGCACTAAAAACAGCCGCGTATATATTAAACCGAGTTCCATCTAAGGCTGTCTCAAAGACTCCTTTTCAGTTATTTAAAGGATGGAAACCGAGTTTGAATCATATACGCGTTTGGGGCTGCCCATGTGAAGTAAGAATCTATAACCCTCAAGAAAAGAAGCTAGACCCTAGAACTCTTAGTGGTTATTTCGTTGGATATGCAGAAAAATCCAAGGGGTATAGATTTTATTGTCCATCACATAGCACTAGAATTGTGGAGTCAAGAAACGCCAAGTTTCTTGAGAATGACTTAGTTAGTGGGAGTGAAGAATTTCGGAATATTTTTTCTGAAAGGGATCACATTGAGAATCAACCACGCGAACTAAGTAACACATTGATTGTTGTACACGCTCCTCCAGAACAGATGCGTGCTACACAACCAATAAATGAGAATCCACATGAAGCTGGAAATGACCTAATAGATCATACCATTGTTGAAGGTCAACAAAACAATGGTGAACAATCTGGTGAACAACTGGTTGAACAGCCCGTTGTTGAACCAGATGATGAAGCCACATTAAGGAGATCTAATAGAGTCAAAAGACCAGCAATTGCTAGTGATTATGTAGTGTATCTACAAGAATCTGACTGTGAAATAGGAGCTGAAAATGATCCCGAAACGTTTTCACAAGCCATGAGTTCTAAGGAATCAAACTTATGGATTGATGCTATGAAAGATGAGATGAATTCTATGGCATTTAATAAAGTCTGGGATCTCGTTGAGTTGCCAAGTGGTGTAAAAGCCATCGGGTGTAAGTGGGTGTTTAAAACCAAGAGAGACTCACAAGGCAACATTGAGAGATATAAAGCAAGACTTGTAGCCAAAGGGTTCACTCAAAGAGAGGGAATTGATTATAAGGAAACCTTTTCTCCAGTATCTAAAAAGGATTCTCTTAGGATCATCATGGCATTAGTGGCTCATTTTGACCTTGAGCTACATAAAATGGATGTGAAAACGGCTTTCCTCAATGGTGGTCTAGAGGAAGAGGTTTATATGAAACAATCAGAAGGATTTTCCTCTAGTGAAGGTGAGCACTTAGTTTGCAAGCTAAATAAATCCATATACGGTTTGAAATAGGCCTCCCGCCAGTGGTATTTTAAGTTTAATGAGGTTATTACTTCATTTGGTTTTAAGGAAAATATCATGGATCAATGTATATACCTCAAGGCTAGTGGGAGCAAAATCTGTTTTCTTGTGTTATACGTGGATGATATTTTGCTTGCAACTAATGATGTTGGTATGATGCGTGAGGTGAAAAGTTTTCTCTCGAAGAACTTTGATATGAAGGATATGGGAGAGGCATCTTTTGTCATTGGCATAAAGATCCATAGAGAAAGATCTAGAGGCATTTTAGGCCTGTCTCAAGAGTCCTATATCATACACAAAGTTTTAGAGAGATTTAACATGAAACAATGTTCACCTAGTGTGGCTCCCATTGTAAAGGGAGATAAGCTAGATTTAAGTCAATGCTCCAATAATGATTTTGAGCGGGAACAAATGAAAAATGACCCATATGCTTCAGCCGTTGGAAGCCTTATGTATGCTCAAATCTGCACTAGACCCGACATTGCATATGCTGTTGGGGTTTTGGAAAGATATCAGATTAATCCAGGGGTTGAGCATTGGAGAGCTGCAAAGAAAGTGATGAGATATCTCCAAGGAACAAAGGATTTCATGCTCATGTACAAACAAAGTGACAAGCTGGAAGTAGTGGGCTACTCCGATTCAGACTACGCTGGCTGCATTGATACCCGAAAATCAACTTCTGGTTATATCTTTTTGCTAGCTGGTGGAGCTGTTTCTTGGAGAAGTGCAAAGCAAACTTCAATAGCTACTTCTACTATGGAAGCTGAGTTTGTTTCTTGTTTTGAGGCTACCTCGCATGGTGTGTGGTTGAAGAGTTTCATATCTGGGCTTAGAGTTATGGACTCTATTTCTAGGCCATTAAAGATATATTGTGATAACTCAGCTGCTGTTTTCATGGCTAAACACAATAAGAGTGGAAGTCGAAGCAAGCACATCGATACTAAATATTTATCCATAAGGGAACGTGTCAAAGACCGGAAGGTGGTCATTGAACACATTAGCACTGAGTTAATGATAGCTGATCCTTTAACTAAAGGCATGCCACCAAAGAAATTTCAGGATCATGTAGTTCTCATGGGACTTGGTACCATGATTTAATTTTCATAAATTTATTTATTATGGAACTCTTATTCAGTTTGGTGTATTCTCAAACTTATTGTGCACATTAATTAATGTTTGAGAAATACTACTTTATTTGGGCTTGTAATAAACATACGGTTTATTCATTAAGTCAAGAGCATACGTTTAGGAGATTTAATATATTGTAATACATGGATGATAATACTTTATAGCAAAGGACTTGTCTCCATGATTCATATGTTTTATCTCTTATAAGGTTTGATAATGGGTTAAATGGACCAAGTGGGAGAATGTTAGTTTTTTTCCCCCCTTAAAGTTACGGAAGTTTTAATTAATATTTAATATTAATTATTCATAAAATAAAGTACATTTATTTAAAGGGAAAAACTAATCTGAAGTGGTCCATTTATTAGATAAAGATTACCCATTATTTCCCCAACTTATTAGCGAGAGAAGGTCAGTAACTTCCCCACTTCTTTTGCCGCACGATTGGGAGTTTTTGATGGGAAGAACTCGATAAATAGTAGTGGTACATCGGCTCTTGTTTGCACCCTGAGTCTGCTCCTCACCATTAGTATACACATACCATCCAAGTGAAGGTGAAGAGAAGGACTTGGAAGAGCAAAACATCTAGGGCAGTTCACTGTGCTATCCAAGGAGATGGCTGGAGGTATGTGATTCCATATTTTGCTTCCGCTAAACATTGTATTGATCTGAATGTGTTCTGTGAGTTTTTGACATGTTTAGATCAGCCTAATTTTTCATAATATGCCCCCATACAAAATATGATCTGAAAATTAGCTATCTGAGCCAATATTTACCTTAGACAATGTGATGGTTACAGATTTACAGGTTTTTAACAATATAATTTGTTTAGAGGCTTGATATGTACTTTAGTCCCTAATGACATTATTGTATTTTTTATAGGTTCAAGTTTGAGAAGGCAGTAGTATAAACAGTTGAATGGGCGCTTACAGATTATTTTTGTCAATTTATGTTATGATTATTTTGTTATGTGTTAAACACTAATAAACATTATTTGGTTAGTCAGTTTATGAACTAGTAGTAAGTTCATTAACTGTCTTTCTTTATGAACTGGGGTATGCCCCTTTTATTGTGTAATTTTTGTCACTTTTGTTAAACACTTAACACTCAAACTCCTACTTTGTCAATTGGGGTATATCTATATCATATATGCCCCTTATGGCCATATGTAGTTATGTAAGTTGTATATTGTGTTATTTTTCTTGATTGTGTTATGCATTTTCAACTGGTTTTGTTAAAAGAACTAAATTGTTGGGAAATTAGTTCAAAATTTTGGATATCCGAAATACCCGAAACCCGACCCATACCCGAGGGAATCCGAAACTTAAAATATCCGATTTTTTTTACCATTTTCTTTAAGGGTTGGGTTAAAGAATATTACCCCGATACCCGAACGGGTTTACCATTTCGCAACCCGACCCGCCCGAACCCGACCCGTGCTCTCCCCTAGTGGTAGGTGCTACTATGCTAGGCAGACGAACGTAGATGGACAAGAAATTTTATGATGATTGCCGATTAGGAGAGAAAAATTACTAGGCCTGGGACCGGTTCGGTTCCTAGACAAAATATGTGGAACCGTTTGAAAATATGAAATTTTACTAACGGTTCGGTTCTTATAAATTATTTTATAGAACCGATAAGGAACCGAACCGTTCTTAACGGTTCGGTTCTTGTCATTTAACGGTTCCTAGTCTTTGAAAAAAATCTTACAAATCACGACTAAATTTTTGTCAAAAAGACATTCAACGTTTGAAATTACAAAACAAATATGTTGAACCAGTTAAAGAGAATAATAGTTTTAAATAGTTTGGACCTTCCGAGTTCCGACCCGCTCGAGTTTGGACCTAATGAGAGGCCTAAGAAGCCTAAGAGAACCGGTTGAAGTGAATAATAGTTTTAAATAGTTGAATAACTAAACTAAAATAATGAATGGAATATAAAAATAAATAAGTAAATATACATAAAATATATATACTCGTAAGAAATATATATAATTTTAATTATTATATATAACG